TGATTTTGGTGTTTTCATATGCCGAATTTATCCAATCATAGCTATCCCATTCCTTTATTTTTTGTTGGTTTCCAATAGCCTTATACATTTGGAAGTCCTTGCACATGTTAAAACAGACCTTGACGGGAAAACAAATTCATTGTGCCGATAAACAAGCTTGAAAATCTTTGCTGTTACTTCATGGACGTTTTCAAAATACAAGGTCTTTAACAAAAAATAACGTATACTTATTGTCGTCGGATTAACACTAAATTTTCACAGCTTAAAGGTGACAGTGAGAGGAACTTGAATGTGTCCAGACAAACTTATTTCATCGATTATTTACCAACGAGTTGTGGTTTGAGTTGGGGGCAATGCAACTAAAACAGTAATTGAAATTCAGCACACTATTTTTTTAAAACGTGTTGCTTGAATGATACTGACAAGACACATTCAATTTACCAGACTTTTGAACAACTAGGAAAAGTGAAAAAAATACTTCTTATCGCCAGCATAAATGCGTAATTATTTTTTTTACAGAAAAAGTAATTTTTCACCTTCGATTGAGTAACGCGTCGTAGAATGCAGATACAGGCATGCAAAATACACTTGTGAATAGCTTGAAGTCTGGCGATTCTAAAAATATACTTTCCTGGGTCTATTTGTAGTCATTTAGTCACAATTAGAAGATGAAAACAAGTATGCAAATAATAGTCCCGCTACCTTAAGCACTGAGTTCAGATCGGAGATCTCGTTGAATTGTATTGGAGTTTAAGTATCTAGTTATTGGAGTAGTGGAGTTTTACCGCGTTATTGTACTTGATGTTTGCAGAGTGTAATAATACCAGTACCAGTTGAAACCTCATTTGTTGGCTCCATGTTCATATTTTATCATCGCCGCCAGGGAAGTCTTTTTGTTACTGTTGCCATTTTGGTATTTGAACCATCACACCTGTACTATACCAATTACGGTAATATTACGTTGCGTGTGACATACTACTTTCAATAAGGAGACTGCAGTACTTGCCTTCAACAATATCGTACAAGGTAAAAGGAAACTAGTTTCCATTTTTTTTCAATAATAGAAATATTATTATAGTTCACCGAGTTCTAGACGTATACAAATAGAAATGAACACCATTCATTCATTCATCCATCTATCTATCCATCCATATATACATACATACAGAAAATGACTGATTCATGATAGATAAAAATACAATTTTACTCAGTCCAAAATCAAACAGCAAGAACAACAAACAATGAATTCGATGTGGTGATATGTCCTAACCAAAATAAATACTTTGGTCAACTCGGTATAAACACGTAGTAAATATCAAACCCTATTTGTTCATCATTCAAAATCTAACACCAGATTTGTTTTCTCAAAAAATAATTTCTTCATTTTCAAAAAACTGATAGTGTGAATAAAAATAATGTAAATGCAGCCCTGATAAAAAATTACATGATTTTTAATAATTCAGTACAAAAGCAAATTGCAAAACCCTCTGAAAGTAAAAAAAAAAAACTTTACATCTCAAATTTACATCTCTGTTGATTGTGATAGTTAGTATGTACGTAAATATGCGAAATGTTACCAAAACTAGTATAGGTGGTCTTTCAAAGTTATGTGATAAAAGTAATCACAGTTATCTGGAAGGGAGGGAGTGCCCCTGAAACATCAGATTAACCTAACCACTAAGTATGAAACATGTCCTCCTTCAGCAACAGCAACTAATTATGCAAGAAGTATCATGCAAGTTATTCTTATAAACTTGCGTGTTTATAACTGATATCTAATTAATCGTCTTAATGTTCAGTATGTGCCATGTTTTATATTTCCCCATGCAACATAAAAAGGTATTTTCAAATTGAAGATTTTTGCCAAAAAAAACGGAAGATATTGCATGGAGGATTATACCCTTCCCCACCACGCACGCAATTTTTTGACGGACAGAAATCGCCCAAAAAAGTCGTTTACAACTACAAATAGTGAATTTCAACAATTTGAAAAAAAAAACACTAAGCACAAGTAGGTTATTATACACAAAAATGATTGAGTTAACACTGGAAGTTGTTCATCAAGATTAAAGGCATGAAGTGAAAGTATACTGTAGCTTGTATACTGGCAGACTTATTTGAAAATTAAAAAACAAATTAAACTAACAAAACAACTGAAACTACCTGTACGCTGTACCCACATATAATAGGAGATGAAAATAATTTGACACTACAAATTAAAAACAATACAGTAAAGGATTTCTGTAAACAAATTGACCAACTGTCGTGTCACAAGAATGGCTGCATACTGCCCTCTAGTGATAATGTGTCAACAGCTTTAATATTTCTACATGCACAAATTTAAATATTTGTAATAAATTATATTTAGCAAAAAAAAAACTCAACCCCTTTTGATTTCACAAGAAAAAATTTTGCAAATATTGGAGGACTGCAGAAAATGGCACCATATTGAAGGTTCCTGTAAATTCCTGGCTTTGAAACTTAACATTTGGAATTGGGATTTTTTTTTTAATTAGCTCCATGATTACAATGACATCTGCATAGCATTATAACCTCATTAATTGCACTTAGGCCAAATTAAAAAAACAATTTGTGTGGTTCCAATCGCCCAACCTCAAACTGATGGACAAGCACAAGATTTGAATGAAATTATACAGAATTTTGTCCAAATTGGGAAGACTTTACTGTGAAAAACCAATTTAATCTGTGTTTTTGAAATGTGTGTTATTGGAACCACACAATTTATTTTTGTTGGTCTAACCCATAAAAAATAAGTCTGTAACAAGACCCACAGTTTTCATCACACTGTATTCTGTTTGAATTTGCATGTACCACATGTTATATGCATTGCATATATAATTTTCACTCAAATCTTTCTGGTAGTTGCCTTTCATTGTTTATATAGATGACCAGAATTCCTTGCACTATGGTTTTATTTTATGCTGTTTTCACAAAATGCAGTATACATTTCAGTACAGGTAAAACAAGACAAAACTGGATTGAAGCAGTTCATTTCAGTACAGGCGGGAACACATGAAACAGCCAAACAGGAAATGTGCACCTTGGTCCAATTTCATTTTCACTCAAAATCTCAAAATTAAATGTACTGAGTGCATGACATGAGTAAATAAAAATACAATTTAAACTATTTTATTTTTCAATTTAAATAGAGAAATGTATTTTTTTGGAGTGAAGACGCATCCTAAATTCAACAAGGAATTGTATTCCGTGTTTGATAACAATTTTCCAAAAAACAATATAATATATATTTGTCTGTTTTGTTGTAATATCAAAGGCATGTGTTTAACGTGGGTCCCATGCGATACACACAACATGTGTAAAATACACGGTTTCTTACAAGAACATATGCTGCAGGACAACAATGCCAGTGGTGCTTTCTGGTAGTTGCCTTTCATTGTTTAAATAGATGACCAGAATTCCTTGCATTAGGATGGTTTTATTTCATGCTGTTTTCACAAAATGCAGATTTCTGCATTAAGAAAACCTAAACATCCTGGTAAATGGTGCTTTGGAGGTAATTTATGATTGGTTTCCATGATAAAAAGGTTCCATCATATCTCAAAATAATGTTGGGTTACATATTTTGTAACAAAATGGATTCTTATTGTAGTCCAAAAATTCTGATGAACACAATTTAATTTTGGTGCAATAATACTTCAACGTGTTTCCAAATTTGTTTTCTCTAAAATATATAATATTTCATGCCTGGTACAAATAATAAACATTTTATTGACACGCGTCCTATTCAATGATTATGTAACACTTTTAAAACTGAAAATTATTTTTTTCCCCGCGTTGAATGGTACTTGTGCGTGATCAGATACATTATACACAATGAATGGGAGATTATCTCTCACAATGCATTGCCCAAAAGTACAGAAACTTGCTCTGTAATTTAAAAAATGAATTCAGCTGAAAATGCCTTAAACAACAATGTGAAAGAAAACTTTTTGTTCTTGATAAGACTACATCATTTTAATTGGCTACTCCGGATACTGTATTTGTTTTATTAGAAGCTCATATAAAACAAAAATTGCATACTGCATCATTACCATAGTAACACCTTTGTAATTTACATAACTGTATGCTCTACTAATAAAGCTAATAGATATGTATATACTTAGAAAAATTTCTTAAACTTTTCTCGACACAACCATAAGTTATGGATTCCTACATCAAATAGTACTGTAACAGTTTGTATAAACCTGTATTATCTCAATAATAAAAACTGGTGGAGGTTCCAGGGCTTCTGCTAATGATAAATAATTGAATCCCCGGCTATTAGTACATTGTTTTTATTATAGCAAAGTTCAAACTTGTTTTGTGTAGGCAATTGCAACGTGCTACAGTAACATAGACTATATATCCAGCAATACGCTTTCCTGATGTTTACAACATTTCTGCAGGTGACAAAATGTTTTTTTTCAGGATTTTTCGCATAATTTATGGTCATTAGCAGTGAAAGTGACAATGTAGTCAAGTTTTGATATTTTCCAAAAGGTTAGCAGAAGCCCAGGAATCCTTGCCGTTACAAATGCAATAACAAGATTGAAAGGAAGTGTAGAACTATCTCTGATGTACAAATAAGGCGTTATTGATATGCAATTTTATAAATAATGATATGTAAATCATATGCATAGCCACAAACTGTTTGTGCTGGATTTATATTTCAGTAAAGGTAAAACAAGACGACAAAACTGGATTGAACCCGTTCATTCCAGTAGAGGCGGAAACACATGAAACAGCCAAACGGGAAATGTGCACCTTGGTCCAATTTCAGTTTGTGTAAATAAATGTCTTGCAGGATGTAATTTTTGTAACAAATACCACCGCTGCAGTGTACTCTTAGGATACAGCTCTGAGATGCTCCAATGCCAAGGTCATACTCTCTACCTGTGTGCAACAAAAAATCATAACTTGTACGAACAAAATTGGGATACGTTGGTGATGTTATAACTTCACTCTATTGCAAAAAGTGATCAAACAAGTGATTCTGGTAAACATGAAAGCTTTTCAAGGGCACGCAATAGATCTTGTTCATATGGATCCTCATCAACGACTGCTACTTCATCTCGTTGTATCCATGGTGACTCTGGTATACATGATGAATCATTCAGCTGTTCAGCAAAAGCTACGGACTCCTACAAATAAAACATCAAAACAGGCATAGTCTCAGTACGAGTATCACACATAATATTGAACTCAACTGGTACATGGATTATTTTGTCTAAAGAGTGTCGACCGCTTTTCAGCTGATAATGGAGGCATATGTACATATCACATCATCCTGTTTCTTGCTATGAACACTATTTAAACTATGATTACAAAACAATTTCCGAATTTGCTAGGATTGGAGTTTTTCTATAGTTATGATGTGCTGCTTCCTTAATTATATTCATTTTTTTTTTGAGGATCCAGACATATTGAGTTCATTTCATGTACCTTTCCCCCTCGTCACTGCACAATAATTTACTGTAACTTACAGTCCTACTGATTTATCTAACTTATTAAACTATATGCTTTCCAGGACCAAGGCAATATTATTTAATCTTACAACATTTTCAAATATATATTAATCAGAGCAATAGATCTGGAAGTACCACAAGAGCTTCAGTTCCTACTGCTAAATATACTATGTGGACCAAACCAACAATTTCTGCTAGGTTAACATGCTAACCATTGTATAGTTGGTGCTTACCGCTGCTCCCCTGTACTGCACTGTTACATGGTCCTGATCCACTAACAGGTTGTCAGATTCAGCATGCATTCCACTTTGGATGCCCTCTGGGTTCCTTGGATTTGAAGATGAGAATTTCTGCTTCTTTGCAAAGTTCACAAAAACCTTAAAATATTAGAAATAAATTCAAACTCAGTATTTTCAGAGACCAGTCGCAATACATTAAATATAAATAGATGTTTGGTTACATAAAACAAATAAAGACTTTGAAATTATTGCAACTCACAAGACTCTCAAACTGAATTGAATGTACTGGTACTGGCATTTAGGCACAGTGGTTTGTAGACTGTCCCAGTCATGGAAATTATTCCTTCTCAGGAATTGTTTGTTTTTTTGCCACACCCTCGTACAGAAAACCCACGTTTTCTTGTGAGTTTTATGCTAAAGTGTAGCATGATTGCAAGTAGTTGCATTAAGAAGGTAAGTGACTCCTACAAGTTGAATTCATTGCACAAGATCACTGCCTATTATGGGCTATAAATTTGCAACAGAATATTGAATAGGAAACTATATTCTGCCTTGGAACTAAAGAACCTCATGGAATTAACAAACTGTTTAACTCATTCCTTGAACTTACTACCTAATGCGCATAAAATGTTCTATTGTGGAATCATGATTCTATTTTAAGTGTTACTACCATATTTGCTTGATTAGAAGCCCAATGGTCAAAACTAGAAATAAATTCACACTGTGGTTATTTCATATTAGCAATCAAAACACAATATTTAAAACTGGTATATGAGCAAATACAGTATTTATACTGCTGAATAACTTACATCATCCAAAGTAGTCTGTCTCACTGAATAGTCTTCTATATACAATCTTTTTTTCATCAATTCAAGATGTGAAAAAACATGACTTAAAGATAAATTCTTCACGTTTAATTCAAATTCTACCATATTGAAACGCTGGTCCTACAAAAACAAATCGTACAGATATGGTAAGCGAAAATACATAACAACTCTTAAAGCATTGTTTGAGTCGACCATTGTCACCTCAAGCACTGTAGCTAATAAGGACTTGTGTCCATTAAATTCAAAATAAATAAAAAATTATAGGGGAAAAAAAATTGCGAAACTTAAATTTTACCATTTGTTTGTAATATAGCGGTAATAATAAAAAAACAAACATAATATTTCTAGACTACTGAAAAGTACTATTAATCTTAAATTGTTATTTGGCGTTAATGAAAATTAAGGACAAAAAATAAATATTTCAAAATTACAACAGAAGTCTGCTAAGTGGCAGTGTTTCTTGAAAATTTTATTACATTTTTAAAACAAGTGTCTGAACAAGTGTATCTTTTTGTATTATAAGAGTATCGACCAATGCAACCGTATGTAATTTATTTTTATTATACCTCTTCTGGATTCAACCACTTGGTGTATAGCAAATGGCTCCAAATTGAAGTAGTGAAAATTATAGTAATGTTTTCAAAAATGTCCGCCATCTTGGAAATACTGCCTAATCATTAAATACTGTAGAATACTTTATTTTCGCTTGGAATTTATTTCCGCTATTTTCGCTGAAGGGATGATTCCGTGAAAATAAAATCCAGCGAATATACTTTTTTTCCTATATTTCATATTAAACTCAAAAAAAATCAGTGAAAATAAATTCCATACAAAATGCTCAAAAAGCCTTTTCAGCGAAAATTAATTCCAGCGAAAATAAAGTATTCCACAGTATTTGGAAGTTGTATTTCCTAATGCAGCATCAGACAATTCCGGTGATTCAGTGAGAGATGTATGACAATATATATTATTAGAAGACAAATTTCTGCCATAATTGTGATGAAATCTCCCAATTTGGAAACAATCCATAATTGTATGAAAAACTCAATCCTCACCTTACAAATCGCTTGCGGGAATTTATTTCGAAAATCTTCTATAATATACTGTAAATGTGGTCTTTCATTCTTTAGAATAACAGTCACAGTGTACCCATTGCCATACGTATTTTTGATATGTTGCAAAGTACCAAGACATTGTAGTCGGCCATTCACCATAATAGCGAGTCGACTACAAAGATGTTCACACTCCTCCATACTAACAAAATATAAATATATATTATATATATTTTTTTTAATTATAAAATGTATGAAAAAAATGACAACACAGGGACTGTCATGCAATAATAAATAAAACTATATACAAGTCAACTTTAACAAATTACTGAAATGATTGCACTTCAATATGCGTGATGGGATGCATAACATCTGTGTAAAGGCGTTGAAACTGATTCATAAAACGTGCATTAACGTCATAATATGTTCAATATATGTACAAAGTTGGAACATTCGACCTATGTGTGTTTGCATAAATAGTATACATGTTGCAAGAGGAACATATCAGACGTGGTATTATTTGATCACAATCATTGCAACATGACAGAAAAAATAGACTTTTTTGTTTCACTTACTACTGGTAACTCAAGTTTGGGTATTTTTGCGCATGACGAAATAAACACAATTATTTTTTCCATAAATTATAATACAGTATGAAATCAACAAAACAAATCTGACAATTCATTGCCAACAGTATAACATTCGTCCGCAACTCAATAGGTATTGTCATCGTACTAAGCTTGATTAAAATCATTCCAATTATGTCTGAGAACCGATTGTGAATACATTCAAGCTTAAGGACTTGAGGTAGTTTGCTAACATTAAAAAAAATAATCCACAAAACGACCTCAAAAAGTGATTTTTCTTTCTTCACAAAAACATTATTAAAAAAAGAATGACTTGCTTGTATGTGAATCATTACACAACAATCTTCGAATGATTTACTGTGATCAATTTTAAGTCAAAAATGGCCACTTGTAAGCCATATTTTTGTCTTTCATCCAAACATCCATATGACTAAAATTAACAAACAATACATAAAGCAGACAGTTGACAAAACACCAACATCTGGTTTGTGATGACATACCTATGAGATGTCAATACTACTGATCTTCCAGTCTGTATAACTTCTAGAATAACACTCCACAAGAAACGCTTAGACTGCGGGTCCATACCAGTAGTTGGTTCATCCTACAACAAAAACACAGTACAGTTGAACATTATTAAATTATTTTGTGTCTCATAAATAATCAACATTATGTTGTTTTTTTTCATATTAATGGACAGTCTAGAAACAAAACAAGAAATAGATTAAAAAATGGTTTTGATTCTCGTCATCCAGCATGGTCAAGTCTGAAATCATTTTGTTGTTGCAAATTTGCATACTGGTGAGATGCATCATGTACGATGGAATAGAAAAATGTTCATTTCTGTTTCAGATAATGTTTCATCAAATAACCATTTTATATTCAAAAGTATTATTAAATATTGAATATACATCTTGTGGTATTGAATATTCTTAAAATAAACATAAAAATTATTCCTAGGACAAGTAACCAAATATTTCCTTTATTTTGTCTTATCTTGTTGATGTTGAGTTCATAGAGGTAAGTGGGTTTCTGTTTTGTGTGCAAGAGTAATTGGAATTTATTATCTGTCCCTTTAATCGTGGATGTGCCTCGGACACAAATTCCCTGAAATATTGTCTCACAAACTGGTTACTAGAAAGTTGGAAGAGCAAGTTATGGGAAGTGTAACTAGTTTTTAAATCTTAATCAGTGTGCATTTTGTCTAATTTTTAATTGAAAAATGGCTGAGTCGTGGTTCCTACAGAATTTGGAAATAGAAATACTTAATCTTTGTTCACTTGATAAAACCTTGCACTCAGCAAAACCTCTATACAAGTAGGTACTTTGACATTTTTTACATGTTTACTCATCAGCCATATCCATTCATAATTAGTTCAATCTCAAAAAGGGTTTGAGCAATTGAGTTTTACAGTTCACTCAACTAACTCAACAATGTACTTCACCAAAAAATCTACATAGACGCAGCAAACATAATCAAAAATAAGTCACTGATGTTGGAAAAATGTTTATATTATATTAGTGATATGGGCCAATAGAATTCATTTTATAGTAGTAAAGTATTTGATTGAAAAAATAAATCGGCTCAATTAATTTTTTTAGCAACAAAATTTCTGCTGCAAGTTAGAACTTTTTTTTCTACCAAATTAATACATGTACTTTCATGTACATTTTCGATGAGAAAAAAATAGTGAAGGTGTAAAAGTGAATTTCACATAACTATAATAGTTTTCAGTTCTTACCATGAAGAGAACAGAAGGATTACCCGTTAAAGCAATTGCAGTTGATAGTTTACGCTTGTTTCCTCCACTCAGTGTATTTGACGTCCTGTCAGCATATGGCTGTAAACCCAGTTTTTCCAACAACATTTTTACCATCTGAAGTTGGAAAATTACAAAATAATCAGCAAGAGTATGATACATTGAAAAATTGAAACATAAAAACAGAGAAAAAATATGCATGTTTATAGGAATTTTTCAAACCTGTTGCAGATACCTTAAAACAAAGTAAACTTTGTTCATTGACTATAGAGGGCGCTTCAATGCCTTTGTATTTCAGATGCATTTGTCAAAAGCCCAAGAAGGTTACACAACAGAAAGGAATGTCCTACAAAACATTACATTCAATAATTTTACCTGTTTTCTATGGTTTCTTGGTACACCCCGTAATCTTGCGTATAAAAATAAATGTTCTCTTGGTGTTAATTTATCAAAAAGAGCGTCAAATTGCGGACAATATCCTATATGCTCATAGACTTCACTACATTGCTTGGATATGCTGCAAAAGAAAAACAATTTTTTTTTTTAAATTGCCACCCAAATAAAAAAAAAAGATCAAAAACGATATAATGCTTATTATAAGTTTAGAAGAAAGTCAATGCAATTATTAAATAATTCTAACTACTGAATTAATAATAGTGAAAATCTGAATTATGGAAATTAAAATAAAGATTTTATGAAAATAATATGTAGTAGAAAACAACTAGCTATATATACATCACAATCCAAAAATCATTTACCTGTAACCATGGACATAAGCATCCCCTGTTGTTATGGTTGCATCTCCAGTCAACATTCGGAACAGTGAGGTCTTTCCAGCACCATTCACACCTAGAAGTCCAAAACACTGGAAAATATAAATAGTTAAAACGATTTTCATTTATTTTTACTATGTCATACAATCAAAGAAGGTTGTTTCAAAGAAAACCCAAAATATATCTAAATCTTTAAACAAAATGTGAAGAAGTACAAGATTTATCGGTTCAAAACAAGATAATTACTCTGTCAGACCTTGCAATAAACAATAATGCATTATGTAATAAGGCTGTTTGCATCAAACATAAATGTATTGTAACTAATCAGAGTCCTACCTGGCCACGGGGAACTCCCAGATACAGTCTATCAACAGCCACAAACTTTCGTGAGTTGCTACCTTTATAAACCTGAAATGTTTGACAATGACCTCAAATATAACCGTTATTCACAAACTCTTACCCTACAATAAAAGGCTGTGGTCTTTGCAATAGGACCCATTAGTAAAGTAAAAAAAACATTATTCATTTACATGGAATTTGAAGATGCACTAAGCCACGAGAATTGCCTTTAAATTAGTCATATAATCTGTATGTATAGGAGTTGAAAAAAAACATTATAATAATATTATTAACTGCAGTATGTATTACAATGTTGCAACTTTAAAAATTTGTACAAATCTCAGGGTGTAGTTTTCAGTAAGCACATTATGCGAGATTGCATCAAATTTCATGTACAGAGTGACAAAAGCCAGACCTCTGCTTCCCTTTAAGTTTTCTACGCAGATGACACAAGTTTAGCACTCTCTTAACAATAACACCTTGTTACATAAACAAAATAACTCTTCATCACAGGGTTTCCAATTAATTAATGGATTTTTCGGTCATGACTTTAAACATTTTGTAACATTTTTTTAGTTTTTCAATTTTTGTCTTCAACACTGTTTGTTGGAACTCTTAATTAAGGATGTGGTAATCATGCATGTTGTGTTGGATATAAGCCAAGACACTCGTATACAGAAGGAAAAACAGATTTGTTTTTTCTGACCAAATGTGATTGTTGAAACTGTTCAAATATATCCACCATTACCATCGAGAGTACATGTAAACATTACAGTACATGATTTGATTTGGAACAAAGAATTGTATTAATATTTTGTATTTTAATATTATTAATATTTACACAATGTAATCACATCAATTTTGTGGACAATTAGAAATGTACCCCACGTCGGTGAAAGGGTAAATTAACATTGCATACAAATGACAATTTTAATCAGGAAGTTAAATAACGAGACATATAACTTACTTTTGATATATTCAGCAATCTAAGTACATCATTAGTTTCATTGAAGACTCTTTGTTTCTCATCAGCAACATTAGCATCTTGTTTCAGCACGGAATCATACTTTGCTGATAGCTTCTTAACTTGACTGCAATGACAATAATTTTATTTATCTACCGGGGATAATCTAAAATTGTATAATGTCTCTTTGTTTTGTGTTTATTGACTTCTATATCAAAAGTCGTCACACTATATATAAAATTAAATTGTATGTTTGTTTTCATATGCAGAATGTTTCTCATATTCAATAATTTACCACTTTTATGTTTCACCAAATTTTTCGACTGAAATCTGACTTCATTTAGAATCCAAATACATAAATCTCATTTTAAAAATTGTCTACTCACTGTAAATCTGAGTCATGTTAACAACACTCTATAGCCATGCATTGTGTACATAATAGATATGACGTGTATTTGTCTACAGTTTATATAGCAAAGCTCATATATGCATTGTCCAGAAATGAGACAACATATAATATATATGTAGATAGAAGATGTTACACAGAGAAATATTACCACAGTTTCAATTGATGAGACTATTGTTCTCAAAATTCTGTTACGAGTGTCAAACAAAAAAACAGTACATACAGTATATGATTTCCTTGTATATTGTTAGATTCACTACTCAACATCAAACATCCCTTGTGAAAATATTTGTGTCCAGGGATTTGAAGTGCAGATGTCCAAAAACTAATTGTAATGTTTCTAGGAATATTTTAAAGTTGCAAGGGAGATTAACTTTTTTGCCACCTGTTCTCTCTTTTCATCACAAATTCACAAAATAGTCCTGCTTATAGTCTGCACTTTCCATCAGAAGATTGGGACAAAATAGCCGAATATTTTGAGTAAAAACTGAAAATTGACTCAAATTTTGTCTGTTGGCTCAAAAAATAGGGTACATTTCAAGAAATAATGAAGAATATAAAAAAAAATGTGTCGAAAACTTTGCGCGAGAAAGTCTGGTGGTGAAAAGGTTAATAGGCAATTAGCGTTTTTTCTGATGATTTTATTTCGGCTTATTCTAATGAAAACAAATGAATAAATTAAATTTTGACCCTCACCAAGACCTTGTAAAGAATCCATATTCACATAGGAGGGTCAGGGTGAAGAACAAACACCCTTCAATCGCCATGACAACAAACATGCGGGATAGCACATGCCATTCTAGTGGATGGGAAGCCAATTCAGGTGCACCTAGAAAACCAAACAAAGTTAACTTTATATTAACAATCCTACAGTTTTCAATGCTAACAATTACAGCAATTTGATATTTGTGGGATAATCACAGGATCTTCACTGTCACTTTCTGTCTTATAGTTGTATTGTTGGCCTAATTTGGTTTTAATCACTTTAAATTTTGAATAACTTGGGCCATTAAACAAATCTGAAAGAGTGTTTGCAAGACATAGCTGTTTACTGGCCAAATCAATCCCATCATGCACTGCTGTTTCTAATCTTATTCATGTAACACTTGTGGTATACAAAACTAATCTAGAACGTCTGCAATATTGAATATTTCAAAGATTACTCGGACAGTCTGGCAAACTGAAGGATCATCAATAGGTTTTATGAAATTGATTTTTGTTCCCCTAGAGGGGGTCTTTAGCGATGATGAGCTTTGATATGAGCACTCTTAGAATAGCGCCATAAATTCCTGCCATTCCCATCTGTATTATGATTCGAAACATACTCATTTTAGATGTCTTATAAAGTTTCATTAATCTCTGTTGCTTTTTATCATTAATGTCACAAATAGTCTTTTATGATACCTTCATAAATGTTGTCCAATAAATTTTAGGGAGACAGACTCGATGAGCCATTTTGTGCTATTTCTGTTTCCCTGCCATAGAATATTGAAAGTTTTATTATTATAATTATTATTATTATTATTATTATTACTATCATACTCCTAATCAGAGATACAATAGAAAGTGTCTGTTTAAAAACTTTATTGAGATGAAATATAGCAATTCCTTGTCTTTTTTTGTTGATTAGTTGTCAAATGAAATATTACACCTCTCTGAAAAGACACTGCCCAATTAAACCATTAAGATTGTACCAGTGCATGATGGGAATGTAATTTGAATCTGACTTGTATACAGACGTAACCAGATGTGTATTGTGCTTATTACATACACCATCGTTTGCCTTGTCACTAACAGTTTGGATTTAATTTAAAACTGTTTAATTTTAAGTCTGGCACATCTTTTAAAAAACATGCATTATATACATATATTATATTATATACATATACTCGATACTGCGATTTGCACACTGAAATCCAGTCACCACCTCTCATTTTATGCACCCAAAGCCAATGTTTAAGTAATTGAATTATATAATCATATATTGTTCACCATCAGTCACATTTATTTATATAATTACCTATTTTCTTGTAGAAGGTGTTGAGAATGTGGTGATAAGCCATTTCATGGATTCCATGACCAAGACAGTAATTGGGAAACAAGACAAAGACTTTATCAATCTGAACTGCAGCTGCTTTGAGAGCCTGTAAAAATAGCAAACATCAATCAATGAAAGAGAAAGTCACTATTGCATATAGTATATTTAGCAAGAGACCCAACACATTGACTGCTGCTTTCCAAAGATAGTCAAAGATTATCAATTTCCATTGTATGAAAAAAGCTCTAGGAGGCAATGTTTTAAACAAATGTGTTACCTGTATGTAAGAAGAATCAGGTTTATATGAAACGAATAGTTATATGTCATAGATGGTGCTGGGCATGGTCCCATTTTCCCAATACGAATATCGTGCAAAATAGTTTACAAGACTCACTGGAGGCCTTCAAAAGTACAAGAATTTTCGCAACAAAATATGTATCTATAGATGGTTTGGCGAAGTGGGTTCGAAGTTAGATAAAGCCCTCCTGCACCTCCTTTTGAATATACAGTTCTCCCCCTGATAAAACATCTAGGTCTATGGCCCTAACATTTTATCTTGGATTGGACTCAGAAGAGTCATCATAGTCTGGCTTTATCCCACACATAGAATAGTATAAGGTATGCACGAGGACAGTACAGTGAGGGTATCGACCGACGCACAGCAGAGGTCAATGCGATGACGTACTGTCCGAGTGCATACTTTGAGGTATCCTCGTAATAACCTTATTATACATCTTTTCCGTCCATGGATACATCATGGGAATACCAAAATCCAAAAAGTTTAGAACAAAATCAGCGAACTTCTTTGTGTGAAATCCGGTCAAACCCTGATGGCAGCCATGTTTGTTTTTATTATTAGAGGACGCTTACGCGCGTAATCATTCCATATTTGGAATGCTTACGCGCGTAATCATTCCATATTTGGAATTCGGATTTCCTAATATGGTAGGTTGAAAATACCCTGTAAAATACCGCAAAATTAGGGCACACTGTAACTTATGGTGTTACGATGACAGATGTATAATACTATGATTGGATATGAATTCTTACCTCACTACCAGCTAGATGCTGCATTACATAGATGACATTAGTTGTAGTGATACCAACAAATAAATTAAATACAAGCAAACAAACATAACCTTTGCTTGCTAATGTAAATAAGAACGATGCCAAGTACATCATTGGTATTATGGACCATCTAAAATTAAAATAAATTAATTAATTTGTGAAATGTATTTAAAATGAAGTAACTAAGATAAGAGTTTACCAAGGCAGTCGGTAATTAAATATGCACATAATTAATGCCATCAAACTTGGCTCATCCAATCATAACCAGGTTGTCAAACTTTGTGCATAATTAATCAGGGTATCAAAACAAACAATTTCTAATGGCATTATATTATGTTCTCATATGTACTGTATTTATGCACAAATATATTTACAAGGAAGACTATAACAATCAGCCATTAAATTCATGCTTTTGGCAGCAAAAAAAACACAAAAAAAAAACAGCTTGTGTGCATTTTTGAAAGTATAATTCAAAGAGGCATAGACAAAACTTACCCAAACATTATAAAGAGGATAATAAACGGTGCTAAGTTTTCTGATGATGAGAATGCAGGAACATAAAATATTTGAAGTATAACAACACAACAGAGCACTGGCAGGAAATATGACAACTAAAATATAAATTTTGAAATAGGAGCACATCAATAACAGGCGATGTATTAAGGAGGGATATACAAAACATGCAGGTTGCTACAGTAGGGTTACGAAGTGCTACGACACAAATTTGTCTGCACTTTTTTCTTATATTATTCAATATTTCTGGAAATGAACCCTAATTCAGGAGCCAACAGACAAAATTTGAATCAATTTTCAGTTTTTACTCAAAAAATTAGGCTATTTTTGTCCCAATATTCTGAAGGAAAGTGCAGACTATAAACAGGACTGTTTTGTGATGAAAAGAGAGAACTGGTAGTGAAAAGGTTAAAGGGTGCACAGTTTTGTATCTATATGAATGGTTTCTATTTGGTATACATTTTCATATCGTATCTGTTTGAATGATGCATACCAGACGTATGTCTATCAGTTGAAACATGTCATATTTTAATGATCAGTATATAAGAAATGCAAAGTGCACAATTGCAATAGTGTTTCTAATAGAGAAATTATGGTGATTTAATTTAGGGAAATAAATAAAAAGTGCAGAATTTTTCTGTCCAGTATTTTGTATACTACCAGAGGTACATTACTTGGGGTTTGTAACTACGGTGACATGATACCAAGATCCCGTCACAATCTCGCTCTCGCATAAGCGTTCCAACTCAGAAAAAATGCGAATGCGCATGCCCGAGGTAACTAGGATACTGGGATGTCCAGGTGGATCAAAATAGCTGCCCACGATATGACGGATTACGAGAACTATATTTTCTGTACATTTTCGATGTATTACATTTTTCACTATGATAGTGACAAGAAAAGTTTATTTTTTTCATTACAAACTTTGAACATTGATATGCGTCATGTCAGAAGGTCGTAGCCTCAGTCTCGCTATCTACGAGAAGAGACTTGAATGGGATCTTGACATGATGTCACCATACAGTACTATGCGAGTTGCAAACCCCAAGTAATGTACCTCTGATACTACCCATATACATGTGTTTTGTAGGCTGCTACCCACAGCAAGGGATTCTAAATTGATTTTCCCCACAATGTATATGAAACAATCTGTTGCAAATCACTAACACACAGCATAGCTACATAAGGGTTTATAAGTGCACAGGAAAAATGAAGGAGACCTACCATATCCCAGATATAATTGGATATCCAGTAATTTAAAGGGCTTACGCCGCTGATAAACTGTAGTAGTTTAGCTTTGCTTGACCTCTCCATGATTACAAACATAACCACACTAGCCGGAATGAAAGACATACCCACTAATATCAACACGGCTACTTTCAAATACACATAGCTTGTCCTAGATTGGAAGACAAAAACAATCCAGTTAAACACAGACACAGGTTATGAATTTCCTGAAATGCTGGCATGCAAAGTGTTTGGGTTGACACAGAAGATGATAAAAAATCATCTATCACAAATGGACTGGATAAAAACACGTTTTTTTTTTTGCACAGTGTAGCACATACATGTACATGTAATCTCAATTTTGTAATGTTACAAACATGTATGCTTGTATTACTGTACACACAAATTTGCATACTCTATTCGAAAGATTCTAATGAACTGAAGTGTCACCACGATTTATCCGTGTGAAAGAGAAGTGTAAATAGATTCTTGCTATGTTAATGAGATTAAAGATGCAAATCCATTCAGATTAACAACATTTGGAAAAATAAGGCAGAGCCATTCAACAAGCCAAGTTTGATTGAAATCTGCTGCATAACTCTGGAAAAATGCAAGGAAAGAAGGATGGAAGGACGCTGCCATGGTTAATAAAGTTTTTGAGCTGCACTACATTTGCTTTAAAAGTTTTGTTATTTTTTTTAAATAAAATATATACATAATAGAAAGATTACAAAAATAAAACTACTTGTATTCTTACTTGTGTCATTAGCGGCACAGACTAGGTTTCTAATCAGTGACGTAATCTGTGTAACTAGGATTTATTTCTAGAATAACCGAATTAAACAAATCAGAGTCTCCCATAATTTGCATTACATGCAGATGACATTTGACAGAAAGAAAACTATCGTCTGCTTCATTATTATATTTGCCATTCAAACAATTTCTTATCTTAGCCACTTTAATCTTTTTTAAAATAAAAAAAAACAATAAGACTCATTAGTTAGAGTAAGAGACTACAAATTTGGTGAACCAAACTATTTTTTTTTCACTTTTGTGACCAATAAAAGATTTTGGGTAATGCCTTTTATATTTTATATTTTCAATTTAATTGTTAAACCTTTCACTCAGCAAAATTTAAATAATTTGTAGTGTACTTGTACTAAATAGGCTACAAATAATTAATACAATACAGCTACATTTTTTGTATAACATTTGATACAGTACAACTATTAAATCGTTTTCATTGTACAAAACAACTTTCTGAAAATGACAAAACACAAATGTACGTATTACTCAAGAAAGGCATGCAGAGACAGCAGATACATTATTTTATCTTGGCTAGTAGCTTGGTTAGTATCATTTAAAAAAAAAACGCACAATAGGAACAGGAATAAGAACGATACATTACAAAAAATCCTGTACAAGTTGAAGTTCAGTCTGCATTGGTTCATCTATGGTAGTAATGCCAAACTTAGAAGGGTTGCCGTGCACCATGGGATCTATGTTTGCCCTCAGTATAGCATTATTTAATATATTCACATAGATGTAACGGGAGAGATAGCTATACTCGTTGTACCATGCCTAAAAGGGAGGATAACAGTCACACATCCATGCATTATTACACTTGTATGTGCACCAAGGGGAACTATCAATAATGTGCCACAAGCATTACCATGGAAACAACTAAATATTATTATTTTATAATAACTGAATACTGTAAAAGGGTTAATTATTCACTGGGTTTTAAATTTTGCTTATTTCGCTGACTGGAATATGCGCTAAATAAAAACCCAGTGATTATGTGAAATTTAGCAAAGAACGCATTATCTAAGTGATAAAACCGTGAACTTAAAACCTACTGAATATGCCTGAAATGGTAAATCAGCGAAATTTAAACGCAGTGAAAATTAGTCATATTACAGTAATTGTAATAAGGGGTAAAATTAAAGAATGAATCATTTTTTGTTGCTCATGATTTGAATAAATCGTTTTCTCCATAAATGCATTCAATCTTGAAAAATCATCATCAAACTACTGTCCTCTACTGATTTGACTGTGTAAAAATAACATCCGAATAAAAATAGAAAATTACACCGCAGTTGTTGCAGTTGAACTGATGCAACAAATACATACAGTCAAACATAAAATAGTATTAACTAATAAGATTCTTTTCCGCTCACTACGAGATCTCAGCTTGTGTGAGATATTGAAAATAAAAAATAGGGCAAACAAAGGTCATAGTGTCGTAGTTACATCACAAAGTTGTGTTGGTTTTGACAAATGCGAAAATACATAATTATTGTACTTCTGGAACATGTGCTATATACATATTTAATGAGGATCAATTTTGATGAATTACAGGTATCAGCGTCATATCCACCTCTGAAAGTTTGACATTGAACTATGAAAATAATATTCATAGTTGAAGATCAAAACATTCAGTTTTTGTAGCAGGCATTTTGTCCACGTCTTTCACGTAGTATGCAAGATCTCGCAGTGAAAGGAAAATCACTTATTATACGATTTGAAGACATAATATTTTCTATTTATTTATTTTTTCTCGTCCAGTCCCATTTAGGTTATGATCTAGTTATGGTCATAAAACATAAATCTATTGCAAAGAATGAGCTTTCTTCTTACCACAGCAACATTTCTGGCAATCAGTTTGTGAAACTCCTTGGAAATATTCATTTTATATTCACGAGGTACAAACTCCCTGACACTACCAAATGACAAAGCACCATATCTGTAAATTAATCAGACAGGCATGAATGAATTAGTATAACAAACAAAAGTCAAAAGTGGATTATAAAAACTTAATGTGAGGATCATGGTCTTTTAAAACCACGTTTTTCGGTTTTAAATATTGTCTGGTTGAAGCCTGAGTGCCATAATCAGAACACTGCCGGGTAACAACATTTTGATCAAGACCATCCATCTTTGGGGCTAAAATTAACTTTTGGATCAGGCTGCATATACGCATATATAATTTCTGACAACAGGGAGATTTACTTTGGGTCAGGCTGCATAAAGTGCCAGGAGCTTAATGACCTTATTAGTTATGCACATATTTAATTTGTGACAACACAGGGTACTTTCTTTGCCTCAGGCTGCATAAAGTGCTAGGAGCTTAATGACCTCATTAGTTATGCACATATTTAATTTGTGACAACACAGGGTACTTTTTTTGCCTCAGGCTGCATAAAGTGCCAGGAGCTTAATGACCTCATTAGTTATGTGCATATTTAATTTATGGCAACACAGGGTACTTTCTTTGCCTCAGGCTGCATAAAGTGCTAGGAGCTTAATGACCTCATTAGTTATGCACATATTTAATTTATGGCAACACAGGGTACTTTCTTTGCCTCAGGCTGCATAAAGTGCTAGGAGCTTAATAACCTCATTAGTTATGTGCATATTTAATTTATGACAACACAGGGTACTTTCTTTGCCTCAGGCTGCATACAGTGCTAGGAGCTTAATGACCTCATTAGTTATGTGCATATTTAATTTATGGCAACACAGGGTACTTTCTTTGCCTCAGGCTGCATAAAGTGCTAGGAGCTTAATGACCTCATTAGTTATGTGCATATTATATAATTTGTGACAACACAGGGTACTTTCTTTGCCTCAGGCTGCATAAAGTGCTAGGAGCTGAATAACCTCATTAGTTATGTGCATATTTAATTTATGATGCTGCACAAAGTACTGAATGACCACATTAGTTATGCACATACCAAATTCAGAATGCATGGTGGGACATTCATGATTCTTTTTGCCAAATCTCAAAGATACTTGAGCACCTCATTAGTGATGGACATATCTAAATCACAAGTTGATATTACCAACTTTTCTAGAAATCTAAAGACTTTCAGGTTCTACACCTTTTATTTTATAACACTTGCCTATTAAGATGAAACTCCCTGTAAGTATTGATCAGATACTGTGTAAAGTTTCTACCACTTATATCCAATAGAATTTCACCACTTGGTACTTGCACTTGAGCAACATCTGGTTTGGCAATGCTTTCCGGACAGTCTAAACCAGTATTATCTTCTCTACATTCACAATCCATGTCATATTCCGTGTATGGTGTGCCATATAAATATTCCACAGGAAGGGCATATCCTGGAAAAAAGCAATATTTCAGCATGGACTGCTATAATTGTTGGCCATTAGTACATAGTTGTTAGAATGGCGGATTTTTTAAAATTTCTTCTAAAAACTGTTATGCAAATATATAAAAATAGTCCTCACTGCACAATCCCTGACTGTCATTCATTCTGGCACTTTCTGGGGGAACTGCTGACGGCAATGATTTCTATTTAAAATGATAGCTTTGATCATGAAAAGTGTGGATAGCTGCTACAATTCGCGACTGTTTCAAATTTTAAATATAAACCAACATTATACAGTACAAGGATTGCTGCCATTGAAATCACTTATTCTCCCTCATTTGTCCCTGCATGTTAATTAGTACAACTGGTTTACACAAGTGAACATTTTCAAGCCTACAACTTGTTCAGCGTTGCGATTGGTTAGAAATATCAAATATTGACACACACACTTGTACATTCTCAATTGCGTACCCTTGTCTTCGAAATCCCCATTTATCAAATGAATGTAATTTTGGTAAGTTCAAAAAAAAATTTCAGGAAAGCACAACAAGATTGTAAACAAAACTAAACAAACATACCTTCAATGGCCTCAGAAACATTATCCCGATTATGGTTGATAGACAATGAATAATTTACTACAAGGTCAAGTTTTTCTGTCAGATTTCCGACCCAGATACTGCTGCTCTGATTAAATAAATCTAAAGTAGTATTATTATCGTTAGAAAGCACAGTGTACGAGGCGCCCAGTCCTGCTTTAAATAGGAGTGTCCGGATTAACTTCTGTGTATCCAGAATCTCTTGTGAGTCCGGGCACTGATCGTTGTTACGCAGACAAGTCCAGCTCTGGTCCGTATAAGGAACATAAAATGTATCAGCTTTGAAAATTTCAGAGTTTAGTTCCATGGAAAACGCCTTCCCCGGATCCACGCTGATAGAGATAGCGCCCCAAATGGCCAAAAGGAGAAACACAACTGGCATAAGTAACTGAGATACTAATATTTTTATATCGCGTTTCATGTAATGTAGTCTTTTTAGTAACTGGCCTACAACCCTGGTTAAAGTAAGATGGATTCCATGTGACTTCTGCCGCGATTCCACTTTGTCAGCTTTGATACCTGTTAAAAGACAAATATTTTTTTATATTATATAAACTCATTACAAATGAGACCTAGCATAATGCTTTTTTTTTTTAGTAAAACATAATTAAGTCATTGAAAATGACACAGTCCATGTTTGTATTTTTTCAAGGGGATCTCTTATGAGCTAACCACCAGACATCTCCAAAAAAAAAGGGTTGAATATGAAAAAAACAATTTCATGTAATTGTGTTGAGGCAGGTCAGAGATACAATCCTGAAACAGCCTTCATTATAACAAAATGGTCACCAGCCATTTGAAATTTGATCTGGGGAAAAAATGATGTATGTACCAAATTTGAATAAAACGAGTCTATGCAAGAGCAAGATACGGATCCAGAATGGAAAAATGCTTGATTTGGATGCATTTATAACATCAGTCATGCATCTTGAATTTAATTATAAATTAGTCTAAGTGCATACGAGTGTGACATGATTTATGTGTTGAGTTTGAACATGATTGGTCAAGGCATTTCAGAGATATGCCTCTGGAACTACATGAATCGAAACAAAATAGTCACCAATTGATTATTTTGAATCCAATCTGGGGGAAAAATGACATGCACCAAGGATCCATAATGTTTAATGAACTTGCCAAGTTTGAATGAAATATGTTCATGCATGGCTAGAATCTCCAGTATTGCAGCAATGAAAAATTTAGATGTCATTTTAACACTGTGCATACATGTATGATGGGTTGTGTGAAAAATTTAAATTGAGGAAGTTGTTACCTGCGCATACGTCAGATGGCCATAGCGTGTAATTGTTTACAAACAAGCGTCTACCCATGAGCCTTTGCGTTTTTAGCATGCATTGTTATTGTTGCTTGGGACTCAATTACCGTGCGTCCGCATGTGACGACCCCTCTGCTTGAAATGTAATCAGCATGTCTGAGATATAGGTGCGTTTTGATGGATGAACAGAGGCACACACAAAGATGAAATTAGAATTTTCCTTTTTTTGAATTTTGACAAAACAAGGACTAAAAACCATATTGCAAAATTCAAGGAAATCTATTTTAATGGCAGCCAACTTCCTCAAGCTGGCTGTAGAGGGCGTCCTATGGACAAGTTGCAAGATGTTGCAGGCGCCCTCTATAGACAGTGTGCTGAACACAGATGGCTCTCCCTATAACATACATAGTGATTAGGATATAGAGGGCAGTCTTTATAAAACATTTATCATGAGAAGACCGTTCACTTTAGAACTAAAAGGTTAAAATTAACAGCATACAATGTAATTAAACTGTAAACATAGGTCCCTATTAAAAGTAGAAGTCAACTCTGCAATAATATATTCTCACATGGGTAGAAAATTTGTAATGGAAGGGAAAAAATAAAAGTTATATGATCTTGATTTATCTTATCTAATCATAGTTGCATTTTTAATTTGCATTCTATGCAAAACACTGCCGACCGATTAATGTGATCACCATGACATAAGATGAAATCAGTTGGTACATCCCAGCATGCACTTGACAGTCACCAAACTAATAAAAACATTATTTGTCTTTGTTGAAATCACTCGTGGTCATTCGCATATGTGTATTTTGATTTTGGCACAACTTACTTTGAATCCCATTTAAAGATTCTGTGTAAAATGTCTCATAATTTGCACATAAGCCCTTACTGATGCTAACAGGGACTAGTGACAAGTTTTCTGCAGGTCATATAAAAAGTAGAAAATTTGTGGCTTGGTTACTCTGGTAAAACATATAAATTGTTTTGAAAATAAAATAATAATTATACATCTGTCATCGTAACGCCATGTGTTTCAGCGTGCCATAATTTTGCGGTATTAAGGGGTATTTTCATCCTACCATATAAGGAAATGCGAATTCCAAATGTGGAATGATTACACACGTAAGCATCCTCTAACAATAAAAAACAAAAATGGCTGCCACTAGGGTTTGACCGGACTCCACAGCTAAATTCTGTTCTAAACTTTTTGGATTTCAGCATTTCCATGATGTATCCTTGCAAGGAAAAGAAGTATAATAATAAGATTATTATGAGGACACCTCTAAGTATGCTCTCGGACAGTACGCCATCGCATCGACCTCCGCTGCGCGTCAGTCGATACTCCCGCTGTACTGTCTTCGTGCATACTTTGAGGTATTCCTGTAAACATGCCTACCTGTACTGTTTGTGCTGCTTTCTTCATCATTCTCAGTCAGTAACCCTTCACAACAAGTATCCTCAGCAACTTTCTCAAAGACGGAATATAACTGCTTTGTTTTAAATCCATCTTTTTTGAGTTGT